TTTCCCGAAGTCCAACTAAAGTGAAAATTTCAGCTTCCTAGCTTTTACAGTTTGAGCTGTGCATTGATCACCAATCAGTCAGTCAGTCAGTCAGGACAAACAGTTTTATATATTGAGATGTACTTTAGGTGTATACATTTTTAATAAGCAATTAAAAGGTTTTCATGATTTAAGTTAGCTGTGTTTGTGTTTGTTTGTAGAACCTCCCCCATCTTTTCAACGAAGATTAGAAAACAGTGTACAAAGTCTCAAGATTGCCTTTTCTTTTCATTCCTTTCTTTTGTCTACAATTTTCCCAGTAAGTTTTCTTATCAGTTGGACTCATTGTAATTGCATATCAGAGAAGTTCACTTCAGTGCCTTGAAAAGAATCTCTTGTTGAAGCTTTGCCAAACAAGTCTCGTTCTCGTTCGACGGCAAACACGTTGAAATCTTTTATGTCTGAGTGCGCTTTATATTCCGACTTGGTAATCATTTGTGCAGACACCTTTCGGTTCAAATACACAAACAACAACAAGCGCAACAGAAACGAATATAACAAAGTCTAAAGTCACTTAACAAATTAGTTCCCACACAAAGTTCCGCTTGTGCTTCTTAGAATGCCTCCTCGAATAGACGTTTTAAATATTTAGATAAATACGCTGGCTTGATTATATTGTTGTATTATACAATAGGTAGACGATTATAACAAAAGCAATTCACACATGCGAAGAAAAGCTAATTAATTCTGATAAATATTCGCGTCACATGAACGCAAAAGCGTTGAAAACGCGCTAGAAACGCATAGGAAACGCGCTTTGGTGGCTGTGTCGTGCCTTTGGCAACCTTTATTCAGCGAAACTCCACCCCGTTTTCATCTATGTCATGGGCTTCAGACTTTTCTGGGAATAGCAACGCGCCCAAAAATGCTTAGAATTGGGCACAAAGTGGAGTCACTGTTAGCGCCGCCGCCGTTGCGCTGACGCGACTTGCCTGGGAACCAGTTTTCCAGTGGCAACAACAATCGGAGGCAGCCGCAGCCAGAGCCACAGCAACAGCTACAGATACAGCCCTTGCGTATGAGCGATCCAGAAGACCCGTTCGGCAAAGTAGCACAAAGCAATGAACTGTTGAAAAATGCCTGAGAATCTTTTCCGGTGCTTGTGCCCGGAACAGTCTGAGCAAACACAGACGGACAGTCAAAACTGGCTTGCAACAATTGTGGGCGTCGCACTGTTGTATGGTAAGCTGAAACAAAATTTCGTCAAAAGCTGAATGTGCACACGTAGTTGTGATGAAAAGTTTTAGAAATGGGAAATTCAATACAACAGCGAACAATTAAAAAAGAAGAATGCAACCAAAGCGTGATCGATTATTTTATACTATAATGTTCCAATTTTCAGAGAGAAGTATGCAAAGCTTAGATGCTTTTCATCATTATATTGTATCCTATATCTACTAATCGAACTTGTTGTTGCTACTTATATCATAAAATTTTCTAGCTATGCTTAGAAAACCATGTGCCATAATTGATATTTATCGATATTATAAATATGGGAGAGATATCGACAAAAAGAATTATAAGTTTGCATATAGCATTTTCTATATATTCAATTTTGCATTCTCTGGCTTTCGTAGATTATTGTTTATTGCCTCTGATAACAATGATCCAGCTATTCGAATTGCATTAAAAAATTAAAGTACCAAAAAAAGGATAAGGTAAGTTTCAATTCTAGGAAAATTATAAGTATATTATGTATATCATAATGCCAACAAAAGTTTAAGAAAAAGATGAAATTACACATTTTTAGATTAAAAATAAAAACAATAAATGATAATTGTTTGTTGAAGTTGTAAAAATCAAGTTTAATAGCAATATCGTAAGATTAGTAAGAGTATAAGCAACCTGTCTGTTAAAGATGGATTTGTATAAGGGCACAATTAATAATAATAGTGGTTGTAAGAAATATCTACAAACACAATATTTATGTAGTTTGCGAAGCACACATAAATTATAAAAAATATCTTATACAATTAACAATATCTAGAGGCGATATCATGTTTTCGACTCGTTTGTTGGGTTTCTATTCCACAGTGCGGATGCGAATCTTTTAACTCCAATGAGTCAAACTCACAGCTGGCTGGGCTGTTGCGGTCGACTCGCTGCGTATGCAAATAGCGACAGATAAAACGCAGCTACGTGATGCCTCTGATAAAGTCAATGGCAACAACAACCACAATAACCGCCACCACAACAACAACAACAACAACAACAAACCCAACAACGCCCACAATTTAAACATTTGTTTGCAACTAAAAGCGAAAGCAGCTGGTTACATTTTCATTATATGCGAGTATTTTGTATTATTTTTTGTAATTTATTTTTCATTTTTGCGGTTTGTAGTCTTCTCAAGGTACTTGAAAATCGATGCACCCACCGAAGCCTGAAATCTGGCAACGCTGTAAACGTAAATCTGCCCTTTCTTTAGACCTTATACCCTAAACATGGTTAAATGTGAAAGTAGTGCTAGTGAAAGATCTCGATCAGGAGATACCCTGGAATCGGAGACTGATCTCCTTAGAATTCTCAAGCATAATTGTTCCCGATATAAATAAATACATCTTTCGCTAATTTTGAAAAATGTATAATAGTCTTAACCGGAAGATACTTGGCCCGGGCAATGCCGCTTAATATCTCCCACCAAACAAGTTAACTATTATAGCTATCTCCGCTGCGCTGTAAATTCAAAATAAAACAATGTACTTTCAAATATTGACCTACTATGCGATTCTCACGAAGTCAAGTAAGATTTAAAAGATTTCATTCTCTATACTTTTTATAACATATATTATGAAGTTTAGTTTAAGTAAGATTAGTTAAGTTGTAGTAAGTCGTAACTCGGTTGCACGATCTTTCTCTATCCATTTTTGTTATTCCTGTTTCACTTCCTTTTCCCAACCCGCTTTCTACTTCTTTTGTTCTGTTGATTTATTTATCTCGTATCGTGCCCGAGCACCTGAACTTATAGCTAAGTACATATGTAGTTATTTACATATTATTATATAAATAGTTCCCAGTATGGTATATAAAAAGTATTAACGACTTGCACTAATGGACAGCGTCATGCAATGGCCATCAGCCGGGTGCGTAGGCTTAGTAGCTGAATGCGACACGCGTTCCGGCCGATTGCACTTTAACACTTGACCAGCCTGGGGGTGACACACCCGCGACGGAACCACGTCCGCGGTGGTAGCGCGGGGTCACGTGTTGTTAACGTTAACGACTCAGGTAGCACAGGTAATTTTCTGGTTTGTGTGTGAGTGTGTGCATGTGTATGTGTGTTTTACCTGCACTGCGATTTTTTCTTTGAAAATAAAGTATATTTTCCCTTTAAGATGCATTTCAATGGAAACACGACTTTGATGATCGACGAGACGAAGTTGGCTGCGTTTTATGATGAGGCTGAAAAACCAGTTGTTGTATTTGTTGTTGCATCTCCTGCTCATCATCATAGCGAGGGCTTTTCCCAACTGCAACTGTTACAACAACAACACATAGACAAAGATTGGCCTTCAGCACATTGCCAGTTGCCGGCCGCCTTAGCATTTCTTGTAGCCACGTATACTCTACCTTTCGCCCAGATAAGATACGCACATAACAACTAAATATGTACAGACACATAAACATGCATGTATTGTTAATAAGTAAACGTATTTTTGAGGTCGCTCTTTTGCACAATCGATGAGCAAACAGTAGTTACACGCATACTCTATACACAGAGTAGTTAAAATATCAGTCCACTTTGGGCACTCCGCACGATACCCTCAAGTGGGCAAGGCAGGGCCTTTTTCAAACTGACAGCTGTTTGTTGATTGACAGATAAGCAAAGGTATCCCCAACAAATACTATTTCAATTATCAATGCGTCATTTTCTAAAAGATTCATTTTGTAATATATTAAACTTTAAATATTTCGAAATTCTAAAGCGACTACATATATTACAGTGTGTACTCGTTAGAGTGGATAGTTCAAAAATGCAGATAATGACGAATCTACTATTATAATAAATTGTTCATAATCTGCATAAGAATGGAACCAAACACAACATTTTTTAATGATTATATTCAATTAATGTTTAGAAACTCAAGACAAATATTAAATATCTGTATGGAAAATGTATTGTAATTTCCTACAATTTAAATAAAAACATTTTTTTTTTTATGTAGATGTACTATTTCACAGATGTAAAGCTTATTAATATTTTAGTTATTTCCAGTCTATTGAAATTACAAATGTGAATTGATATTTTTGTAACATTTTAATGACGCCATTAACCAATTTATACAATATATATAATACATAAGATTTTTGCATTTGGACTTAGGATAGGCCAGCTAAAGACGCAGACTTAAAGAACTTCTAAATTTAAATGTATCTCTTGAAATTATTCAATTCATTTGATTCTCTCACTCAGTCCAATCTGGATTAATATAAAATCTTTAGAATGTTGGACTAGATAAGTAACATTTTTCAGGAAAAGAAGCTCATTTTTACGGCAACGAAGTTTTGCAACAGCAAACACGTATTTAAGCCATATCGACAATAAATTATACTTATTATTTTATTGATGCAATTTGCTGCAGCTTTTGGTATTACTCATTAAGATGGTATTTATGCTTAGGTGTTGTCATTCAAATCCCTGCAACGACCGCCTTTTTACGTATTGGCACAAGTCGCTTTGTAAACAAGCAACAATAAAGACGACAACAACACCAACAACAACAATAAACACTCCCCTCAACAACATACATACAGTGCACTCGAAAAAATGTAAGTGGCTCAGCAGAAAATTGGAGCCTACAATGGTGTCATATGAATTGTATGTATTTATGTTGTTATTACCCCAATTGAGTCGCTCTCTTTACCTAAAACATGCTCTCACACACACAAGCAAATACAATCACAATTGTCAACTGTCACTCTCTTGAGTCCTGACCATGTGCACTCGCATAAACACTCACCTGTTGCTAAATAAATTAATATGAAGAGAAATATCCATTGGGGCGCTGAATTGGCGCGCTTGAGCAGCAGCGTGTACGTCGACGTCATTTGAGCTGCGCTTTTCGTGCGCGCACGGCTCAGTCGCTGTTGCTGTCTCTGTTGATTTGTTGTTTGCTGTTGCTGCTGTTGTGTGACGTGCGCGTTGTTAGCGCTTGCTGACGCATAGACAGCAGCAGAAGTCATAGCCATGATCGTTTTTTTTTTTTTCGAATTGGAGGTTTTTTTTGTATATTTTCGGCGATGAAGTGCAGTTTTTCTTTTCTCTAGATGTGAATGTGTGTGGTTCAAAGGAATTACTTCAAAGTCGTAGTGCTCGTTGAGGTTTTTGTTTATTGCCTTTAGCTCTCTTTACACGTATTGGCTTGCGCGTATGTGTGTGTATGTGTAACTTGCACTTGGCGTCAAGAACAGGTTTTAGTTTTCAGCTACATAAAAAATTGCGCGGCCGCTGTTGCTGCTGCTTTTATTTTACACTTTCGCACGCGACACTTTCTAGCATGAATCTAAATTTGAATTTGAGTATTGAACACACGGCAAATACTCGTAGCTTGCGATGGCCATTATAGTTTGATTTGTTTGCGTATTCATAAGAACAAATACACACACACACTCACACACTTACGAACCGTAAACATAAACGAACGAGTTGGCTTAAATGCTTCTTTTGTTGCTTTCCACCAGGTATTGTTGTGTTATTGCTTTTGAAGCTGCTTTGCCTTCTGGTCGTTGTTGTTGTCTGCCCTTTTGAACTGCAAGCAGCATTGGCTGCTCCACCAATACACGGGCGCTGGCTTGCATTGGCTAACACTAACAGTCACTAACACCTGCACACGCTAGCATAGAATGATAAAACGAAATCAAGTTCCGGTGTCCGCTCCCACAACTAAAAACGTCCAACACGCCCGAGAACAAAATGCGAACTGAATTGCGCGCTCGTTGTCATATAGAAGGCAGACTTTGAGTCAGACGTGCTCGAGCGCTCACATTTAGACCTAGGCAGTAGTGTGTGTGAGAGAGACAACTATTGTCTGTTAGCGGGCAGGTGGGGTAGTTATGTGAACACAACAGGTAGCAAAAAAAAAAAAATCAGAGTTGATCGATTTATAACCTAGAAAGCCAATCGAAATATACAACATTTATCGAAACTTGAAATGATGCATTTTGAAAATAGATTTTTGTTGTTGTTTATTAATATTAAAATAATTTATACTATCATAAGGAATATAATATATAAGGAATTAAAATTGAAATTATTATGAAATATTCAAGAAATATAATATGCCGAACCTGTAAGAATATCTTACACATTTTATGTTTAATTATATTGCAGTTTATTATTAATGTGATACTTATAAATCGCCACAGGTTCGATAATAACCGATAAATCATCAAAAGCATTTTACAACACTTGCTTTGTTGATCAAAACAACAAACCCCAAAAGCCGTTAGACAAAGAAGAAGACGATGTGAATCGTAAATTTAACAATGCTTAAATGATTTGTCGCCGCATTTGACACAAATATGCACATAAGCTTAACATGAGCTACATAAATGTAGCCATAAATCACGGCGCACGTGGATATGCAGCCGTACGCAATGCAAATGAATATGCCTGCAAATGTCGGCGATAAAATGCGCGCAAACGCCGTCACCCAAAACGCTTATCAACTAAAACACAAAAAGCGCCGCCGCCAAGTCGGCAAATTTTGGAGGTCTAGGTAAGAGGAGCTGGCGTACAGACGTATTTCTATATATAGTCGCACGCACATTTAGCACCACAACAGTATGCGAATGTCGCAAAATGGCAAAGTTACAAACAGTTTTAACAATTTACTTGCTTCTTGTTTGCGTCGAGGCCCAGAAACGAGATGTCGGGGAGGAGAAAAACTACGATGATGAATTGATTGACCTGTCGGAGATGGGCGAGTCCATTTTTGGTAATCCGGATACTGAAACAACTGGAGCTCTGGTAGACTCTCAAAATGAGCAGTCGCAACAGAATCCCGAAGAGCTGGGCACCTACCACGAAGGTGATATACTAATACCACTTAATTACCGGGACGTCCGCACCGACGACACACGTAATGGCCTTCTAGCGGTAAGCACACGTTGGCCTGGCGGTGTGGTTCCCTACGAAATCAAAGGAAAATTCACATCCCAGGAGCTGGGCAACATACAACATGCCTTTAAAGAGTATCACGACAAGACTTGCGTGCGTTTCAAGCCGCGCACAAACGAAAAGGATTACATTTCCATAGTAAACGGTAAATCTGGATGCTGGAGTAGCATTGGACGCCTAGGTGGTCGCCAAGAGGTCAACCTACAGTCACCGAACTGCTTGCGCACATATGGCACACCCATACACGAACTTATGCATGCGCTGGGCTTTCTCCATGAACAGAATCGCTACGAGCGCGATTCCTACGTGCAGGTGCTGAGCGAGAACGTAAAGCCTGGCATGTTGGCCAACTTTGATAAGGGCAGCGCCAGGACACAATCGGGCTTTGGCGTTGATTATGATTATGCTAGTGTGATGCATTACTCGACCACCAGTTTCAGTAGGAACGGACAGCCGACATTGAAAGCCTTGCGCAGCAATCCTGATGCCCGTCAGATGGGACAACGGCGCGGCTTCTCTCCCAGCGATGTACGCAAGATTAATGCGATGTACAAATGCAAACTCTAAAAAGATTTTTGCTGTTTTCATTTATTGAAAAAATACAATTCTATATAACAAGCGCATGTGTGCTGCATTCTGATAGATGATGATCCTCAGTGATGTGGCAGATTCTTGTTCGTCTCGAAAAAGACATTGCCCCTCATGGTCAGCTCCTTGCAGAGCGTTGAGAAACGCCTGATGGCATTGTAGGTGCTGTTGCCAATAGCCGCATCTTTCATGTACGAAACACACAAAAGTACACATATATATTTATATACAGTTTAATATTTTAGATCTACGCCTGACTTCGTAGAGTAGCAGCATGCAGGGTTAAGTGTGTATCTAATGATCGTATATTGTATGATAATATCTGCTGTGGCTCTGAGTTGCTCCCACGCAGCCGGCTCGCTTGTTAGTGGGGACGCGCTTTACAGAATAAGTTCACCTTACCTGCGCCGAAGGCGCCATCGCCACCGCACAGATCCATGTTCATATATAGCCCCATGTTGCCCGTTGATCCAGGATACGAACGGTTGTTCAGAAAGTCCCGTATGTGCTGCACAATCAAATCGATGGCAACTGCAAAGCAAAACACATTCGGATGTGAGCCTCTTGATTAAACTCTAATTCAGTGTGTTTGGCATCTAAGTTAAAAATAGTTGGTTATGTAAAAACTGATATTTAACGTAGCAACTCAACAAATGAAGCACTTAGGTGTGATGTCGTTTTTGCCACTTACCTTGTGGCAACTGCTGTCTGTATGCCAGGGGAGAGCCTTTGTGGCAGGCACTGGAAACTATACTGTACTCACTTGACAAAACACCTGCTAAGACTATATTCAACTTTAAGACTAGCAACAATTTAATTAACTTATTATAGTGATATCATATTCTTGTATTCCCCTGCAAGATCTACTTATATGTAGGTGTACGTGTGCGCAATGGGTATTATATTAAAGCTTTTCTATTCACTTATATTGACTACTTTACAAGTTGTTTTATCTATTTTATGCTTATAGTTGAGTTAAACAATTTAAAACTTGTAATGATTGAAGAATTGCATCTAAAAAACCTGCGTTTTAACAGTATGCTCTATATTATATTAATTGTGGAATAACAAACGTTAGTATGATGATCTAAGGAAGTGTATAGGAAGAATTTTAATTTAAAAATAAATCTGACTTTATTCGCAAACTGAAGTATCCAGCAGTAACAATTTTATATTTGTATATGATTTGAGCTTTATCAAAAGAACTATTCTAAAGAATATTTTACGTATATATCGAACTATTTTCCATTCAAAGTTTTCTTAAAATGTGTATTACAATTTAAAGAAGTTTAAAATGTCGCATTAACTTCTTTTCAGTATAATCCAATTTAAGCTTATATGGTTTTTAAGATGGAGTTATTTATAATTTAGGCACACACGTGTGTGTGCGACTTGTTAAATTGAGTTAAACTAACAATTCTTGTATTTTTTTAACATTTCACAAACTGTTTTTGGCAAAAGCGTTTAGTTAATATGTAGGTTTAGCTGGATAAACATATACATACATATGATTAGTTAGGCATGTGAAGGTGAACTTATTCGTGTATTCGACCATTTAGTGCTTAAAATAATTGAGAGTTTTAACATGAAATTAACAATACATGATAATATTTATTCATACACAACTGCATAATTAACAGCTACCCCACTTTGTAACATAAGGTTTATATATTTGAGCCCGAGTTAGACGCTGAAACGCCACTTGAGTTGGTTAAGTAAGTTTTCTTTCTTTTCAATAAACAAAAAACAAGCTTACACGATACACATTTGCATACATTATACAATGGTATGCATAATATAGATAAATTTTCCATCTTAAGGCTAAGTTAATTGGTTAGGATTGGGAAGGACCCCCGCTCTATTATTTGCAGTTAGTGAAAGCTTAACACTGGGCGGCGCGTCGTCAGTTTAGTTAGGAGCAGAAAATGTTTTGCTTTTGCTTTTTTCCTTCTTTTTTTTTTTAATTTTGCTTAAGAGCTTAACAAAAAAAGTTGGGGGAGTTTTAGTGATCGCGCTTCATGCTGGCGGCCGCAGTTCTGACTGTGTTGTTGTGCTGTGCGATGTTGGTGGCCGCGAGAATTTCTCCGATATGGTGTACAATGAGATCAATGGCAACTGCAAGAAATACATTGTAACAACAGAAACGAAAACAAAAACAAAAAGAATCGAGAAACGAGAAGGAGACAACATCAAGCAGGCTATCGTAAAATTGGTTTAAGTTTGGTTAATTGAACGGGCATAGGAACAGGAAAACCCAAAAAATTAATTTAAAAAAAAAACATTGTTGTTACATTGTTTTTTTTTTTTACATATGCTAGAGAAACATATATACAGGAATACCTCTATAAAAAATGTCAACTAAACACTACAAACATGACACGAGTGTGTTTTGTGTGTATATGAGTGTAGATAGTTAATTAAGTTTCCAACTGAAGCTAAGCACGTGTACTGCGTGTTTGGTCGCATAGCTCTTACCTGTATTGTCTGCACCGCGAGGAATGATAACGTCAGCAAACTTTTTGGTCTGCAAATATAAGAATTTAATTGATAAGCAGGTAATCTTTAATTTGGATATCGAAAAGTATTGATAGTTTAGTCGTTCCTAGCTATATTGGGCTATTTTTAGAGATCAGCAACCGGATTCGATGCAATTTTGAGCTGATTTAGCTTCTTATGTTTTTGGAATTCTAATGAAAATTACTCTTCTTTTAGTTCTGTTAAATTGCCAACTTCTGCAAAGGAAAGCTAATTCAGCCATTTTTAGATACTTTTAACTTTGAATTCAGCTACTTTTTTTAACGTGGCAGTTCGCAACACGGCGCCCACTTACCGGCGAGCAAAACTCCTCAAAGGCGGGTTTCACAAAAGTCATGTACTGGGTGAGCACAGCATCCAAGTCCCTGCCACGCTCATTGATATCACGTGGGACTAGGCATAAGTAAAGATGATCTTAGAGAGAGATTTAAAAAAGCTTATCAAGATAATATTACCCCGACGCGCTAGACGCGTATCCGAATCGGTGTCCACAAAGAGCTTCATATGAAATAGGTCGCGTATTTTGGGAAAATAAAATACCAATATACCCTCAAAGAGCACCACATCCGCTGGATAGATAACCAGCACGTTATCAAAGTCCCTAAAATGCAAAAATAAATAAATAAGCAGAAAATCAATCAAGACAGAAGAGTTTGCTTTTACTTACAGTGAATTGGTGCGATAGTCGTAGCTGGGTAATTCTGCCTTTTTGCCGTTGAGAATGGCCTGGAGTGTCTCGTACATGAGCTCCTCGTTGAACGCATCCGGATGATCAAAGTTAAACTTGCCTTTTTGCGCCTTCAGCTTTTCGGCCGGAGTTAGCTCGCGATAGAAGCTATCCTGACTGATGGACACCACCTGACGTTGCGTATGGTCCATTTCGGCCTGTCCGAGTTGTTCCATTATTTTTTTGCAAACAGTCGATTTACCGCTGGCTGTGCCTCCGGCTACGCCAATAAGAAACGGAGATTTGACCTCATCGTTGGCTAAAGCATTGCCGTTGGGAAGGCAATCTGATTTTTCTTTGAATATTCCTTCCATCTCGAAGGAGAATCGCTTAGTCAAGTGGACAGCTGGAGTGCGCGTTTAACAATACAAAGAAAAATCTTTGCTACAACGTTGCCACATTTTAACGACCAGCTGTGTTAACAGCGCGTAACAATTGCAGAAATTTAACATTTTCGTGCCTGTTGTTAACAGCTTATTGTGCATATCAATGGTGGTATTCCTTATTTTATTTATTTAATTTTAAATTTAAATTCAATTTATAAGTTAATTAAGTTAATAAATTGCATAAAACGTGAAAACAGAACAGTATTAGTTTTGTTCCAGGCATATTAGAATTCATATACATATACAAAAATCATGGCATAGCATAGGTTGTATATGTTATCTTCTGGTGAAGCCCTCTTACCTAGTTTCTTACCTTTAAAACTGCATTGCAGGCAACCGTATCGTATTGCTGTATCATGAATTCAAATAGAATTGATCCAGAAAACAGACTTTCTGCAGAACCCAGTTGATAATATTCCATCTAATTCTGAAATGGAATAGTGGGCTGTTCCAGTAAGTTGCTGCGCTATAAATACAATTGAGTCCAACTAACTGGCATCAATTCACAGCAACAGCTCCACCATGAAAGTTTTGGTTCTATTGGCTGCTCTGGCAGGCATTGCCGCCGCTGTTGATTACTGTGCTCTGCCCACTTGCCTGGACAAGCACATTGCCTGCAATAATAAGGGAGTAAGTCATGGAAGTTTTCGCTATTGACAAAAATTAAATTTTGTGCCGCTGCAGAATTTTAGCGAACTATGCCCCAAGGATGTGCGTCCCGTGAAGATCGATGCCCATCAGAAATTGATTCTTTCGCTGTTCAATGAGCTGCGCAACAAGGTCGCCGGCGGCGGTATCGAGAATCTGCCCAAGGCGGCACGCATGGCTAAGATGTCCTGGTGTGAGGAGCTAACCCACTTGGCGCTGTTCAATGTGAAGACCTGCCAGTCGCTAAAGGACAAGTGCCGTAGTACCGAACGCTTTGCCTATGCTGGCCAAAACAATGCCATTTTCAGCTACAGCGGTGCCGAATCGGAGTACACCGATGCTGAGATCATTAAGGAGCAAATTGAGAATTGGTTTGCCGAACGCACCAATGCATCTCCTGAAATTCTGGCCAGTTTCCCCGAGGAGCTGCCCAACAAGGGAGTTGCCAAATTCACCATCGCTGTCGCTGAGAAGAATACACATGTGGGTTGTGCCGCGGTGCGCTTTTCCCGCGACTATTACAACCACTTCGTCCTGACCTGCAACTTTGCCACAACAAATGTGATCGGACAGCCGGTGTATACACCCGGCGAGCGTGCCACCTCTGGTTGCAAGAATCGCTACGGCGCCGCCTTTGACTACCCCAATCTGTGCTATGCCAAGGAAATCTACGACAATGAGAAAATTGTGCCCGACATCAGGGTGTTCTAAGTGTGCCCACTAGCAATATATATGTTTATGTATATATATCCAAACAAGCAAATAAATCGTTGACGACCTGAGAATGACGAGCAGCTTGTTTTATTGGTTGATTTTGGCAATAGGAAGGCGTATTTCATCATTTCGCACATCAGACTTGTCAATTTTGAGAATATTTCGCAAACAGGTTATGTCAGGCAGCTAACAAGTCGAGAGCCACGTTGGATGGATAAAGAACTAGCGCCTTTTCAATTAACTTAAGTATGCTTTGTTTTTAATCATATATCATTTACATAGGAGGCATTTATCTTTCAGACTGTTCCGACAATTCGACAGTTTACATTCATATTTAAGATCGTTGGTTTTTTTTTTTTAAAACACGTATATCACAATCTTACACAGGTATACAAAACATTATCCTACATTTTACAAATTGCTAAAACAATTTCTCGCAGTTGTGACCAGTGTTGCCAATATAGCTGTTTTCTCATTCATTGATATTTTCAGAGTTTATAAACGCTATTTTTAACGTGGGCAACACTGGTTCATTGTTTTTATACCCCAGCTGTAGAGGGCTTTACAATCTTTGCTATTGTTATTATGGTAATAAATATGTATGCTATTTAATTTGTATTAAGTGTCGTCAAAGCCTCTGGCAATGTTTCTTTTGGACAGATGGGTATCGGGGAAATGTGCGGGCCAAATCAATCAAATTTGTATTAATTAGTCAAAGACTTCAAACTAAAATAAAAATGAAATTTGTTAAATAATGGCAAATACAATAAATGAGCTCTGCGTAGTGTCTGATAATCCAACAACAATTACACTAAATAACATATACAGCTACATTTAAATAAATTATACGAAGAAGCGAGCATTACTTTTCTTTGGGCGCCTTGTCAAACAGATACTCCTTAGCCATTTGATATCCAAGTCCCACGGTCAGGCAGCCCACTACGGTACCCTGCGCTGCCACACGCAGCTGCATCAGGAAAACGCTTGTGCTCATCGTGCCACGGTTTTTATATTTGTAGGCACCGATCAGACCCGCCGCCACAAAGCCAGCAATGCCTATGGAAACAATAAAAAATTAGCCAAATGCTGTTGAATATGTATGCGAAGCGCTGTTTTTTTGTTGCTAGCTGATAATCACCAGACGGCGGCAGCTGACGCACCAACACCAACGCAATACACGCGCCAATCATCGCGACGTCATAGATGTGCTAATAGTATCTATGCATGTATGTATGTATGCATGCATTTTCTCTTCTAACTGTTAACACTACACCGTCGCGAGCTGTGTTTGCAATTATATCACATCTTACGCGCTCATTGATATTATGATGAAATTGCCGTGTTATTAAAAGTTATGTCACTTAATGCTATGCACGTACAAACATATCTGTGTACATACATATGTAACCACACACACACATCTTCAATTAACGGCGAAGGTCAAGGTGGCATTGCCATCCTTGCACACATACATACATATGTAATAGGAAAGTTTCCGTGACGTCACATCCTATAGGAAATGTGTGCGCCTCAGCGAATCACTCTAACCAGCAGCCCTGTGACTTACCAATCAACATGAAAGGAGACTCCTTTGCCTTGTTAGCGAACTTGTTGGCTTGCGCTACATCATCTTCCGTTTCAAATAGTGATTTTGAACTCATGGTTGTTAGTTGTTTCCGTTTCTTTCGATTGCCAAAAATTTGCCCAATGGCAATAACGCGTCAGAAGTTTGTACGCAAGTGAGTGAACAAGTGTTACTGAACTTGAACCGAATATTCCCTCTTTTTATTTAGATTTGATTTTCGCGAAAGTTATCGATAACAAATCAGCTGTTTTACTAAAAATAAGAAAAAATAAGCAATAATAGTGGCACAATTTTAATTAGCACTATCAATATTAATATATATGTAGACTGATTTCAATATATATTTTTTCTCTTGGTAACTTTATAATAGATTATATTTAATTGGTTACTTCTTATTTAAGAACAAATATTAGTTTTATTAAATAAATACCAGACCCACAAACAATTTAACAGGATCATTATTAAACATTTTGATTCAACATCATTAAACATTTTGATTTAACTAAATAAGTATGTGCAATAATTTAACCAACACTAACAGTGTGACCGCAGTATGCAAAAGAAAAATTACGCGCTCAGCTGAGTATTTTGCCATGACATAAGAAGAGTTCGTTCGTCAAGAGGGGAGAAACGACGTTGGATTGCCGTAGCCCCAACACAAATCTGCATTAGTTTAAAAATTTCTGACTCAAAGTGCTCACACACAACAAGCGCAGCAGCGAATACGAGACGACACCACAGCAATGACGGGCATCATATCTATATTAACAAGGCAATTGCCGCGCAATGTGCAAACTTTTAGCCTAAAAGCTGTGCGGAATCATGAAGTAAGCGTAAGAAGGAGTCACACGCATACATATTTTGGTCAGCGAAAGTCGGAGCAACAAAAAAATTGAAAGGCGTTGAGGGCGGAGGCGCTGCCACATTACGTTTGTATTGGATCAGTTGTTTTTGTTGCTGCGGTCTTTGCTGGCGGCCGCTTAAGCAGCCCATAATGTGATTATGTAATTGAAAAAGTATGTATGCAATGCATTAAGGCGCAACCTGCGTGGCAGTGCCACGCCCCCTAAGCCTCATCACGTGACGATCGGCCATCTAACAGCAGTAGCTCCACTGATTGCACAATCAACGTTGTTTTTTTTTTTTCTTTTTTGAGATACTAATCCATGTCATTTCTGATTGCGCCCACAGCTTCAGCTCAGTGCCCGTCAGTATTCCCAGCTAGCTGTTGTTGCGGCAGTTCAGCAGCAGCAACAACTGTTGCGCCGAGAGTCGATTCCTACTCTGCGCTGCCAAGATGCGATGCGGTAAGGAATGCCATTTACATCATACAGATTAAGTTAATCATGTGCATATCTCTCTCCTGCAGGGCCTTGGGCTGGCAGAGCTTTCACACCACCACCAGCATGTGGTCGGAGCAGGTGGTGAAGGTACCGCCGTTCGCTGATTCCATCACCGAAGGTGACATTAAGTATGTGAAACTTTAGTCAACAAATTCTGACATGTGGCCCGATTGGCGGGGGGCATGTTGTAAATTTTGTTGATAGCTTATCTGATGCTTGGTTCTAAAGGCGTTCTCTTTTTTTTTTTGCTGATTTATCTTTTAGATTTTCCTGCAAAGTAGGCGACTCTTTTGGAGCCGATGAGGCTGTCATGGAGATTGAAACCGATAAGACGACCATGCCAGTACCCGCGCCCTTTGCGGGCAGTGTGACGGAAATTCTAGTCAAGGATGGTGACACGGTTAAGCCTGGCCAAGAGCTTTTCAAAATGAAGCCTGGTGCAGCACCAGCTAAGGCAGCTGGTGCTCCTGCCCCAGCTGCAGCGAAGGCTGCACCAGCTCCAGCAGCAGCAGCACCCCCTAAGCCAGCTGCAGCACCCGCTGCGGCACCAGCTGCACCGAAATCAGCACCACCTCCGCCACCACCACCAGCTGCACGCCCGCCACCGGCAGCCCCTCGTGCTGCTGCACCGCCGTTAGCTGCTGTGAAGCCCGCCGTGGCTCAGGTGAAAGTGCCTCCCGCTGATGGTTCGCGTCAAATTTTAGGCACACGCTCCGAGCAGCGCGTAAAGATGAACCGTATGCGGCAAAAGATTGCGGCTCGCTTGAAGGATGCACAGAACACGTGTGCCATGTTGACCACCTTCAATGAGATCGACATGAGGTTAGCTTGTTACAAGCTCTTAAATGCTTTGTATAATTGGCTTTGATATATTTCCTCCGACAGCTACGCGATGGACTTCCGCAAGGCAAACCTGGATGCATTCACCAAGAAGTACGGAATCAAACTTGGATTTATGTCCATATTCTCGAAAGCCAGCGCCTATGCGCTGCAGGACCAACCCGTAGTTAACGCCGTCATCGATGGACAGGTAAACTAACCCCACTGAGTCACTCGTGACGCTCCTCTTTATTACCTTATCACACACTATTATGTTGTTTACGCAATTACCCGTCGCTATATGATAGTCTTCTGATATGAAACTATTTTTCGTAGATATGCACTCCATTTTCCTGAATCTAATAATTGTCAACCACATTCAACACTTTAGTTATGTTGTATAGTAGCTAAACGATAAAGTAATAGAATATTAAATGAAACACGATAAACAGTCGAAAGCGATATATATCGGTCCATTGTCATATATATTATATATTATTCTAAAAAGAACTAGAAGAAATTACCTGTCATAACAGACAGAAAAAAAGTCGGCTTCTTTTGAGAAAATAATATAAAAATGGATTTTCCTGGATTTAAATCGGCGACTTCCCACATATTCCCACATATATTTTTATATTTTATTCTTCGTAAATTTCCTAAAATCCCGTATCAACGCTCACCAGACTCAAAACAAAGCTGTTATATAAAGATTCCGTTTGATCTTCGAATCATCTTAGTTCTTGAACCTGTTTTATTTAACCATAAAGCGTTGACCTAGCTTGTTTAGCATTGTCAATCTTTTAATATAAATGCTTATTTTAAGTACTTATATTAATTTTGGGGATTTGTGTATGTGTATGAGTATCATACCAGTTTTTAAACTTGAATATTGCCAATCTTTAAAAATGAAGCAAATCAAGAGAGTTAGCAAAATCAACGGCACGCCGAAATTCTAATACCCTTTTGCATTACGATTTAATATATATGGCAGAATAAAGCTAAGTTTAATATATTGGCAAGATTTTTTATATAAAGCTAAAAACAGGAAGACACACGGACATGGTTATATCAATACGGATGTTAATGCTGATTTAGCATATATATAATTTCTGGGATTCAGAGATGGGGTCACAAATGTTTTTGTTATTAACTTAGTTATTATTACTAGTTACTATTACTATTAACAGCTCTAAGGAAATAGTTGTATATATTTTATACTGCCAAACCAACGAACTCCCATATCTCTTTTCCTGTAGGTCAAGTTCAAATAAATCATTTCAAAATATGTATGTTTTGCAGGACATTGTGTATCGCGACTATGTGGATAT